TTCTGGATATGTTTTGAAGATCTAGTAGGCAGGATTTTGCAGATGAGAGCTTGTAGGCCATAAGAGAAAGCAGGGAACTCAACACAACTTCAAAACATTTGGATGAATGCAACTGGACGAATGGAGTTGTCATTTACAAAACTTAGAAAGACCATGGGAGAGCAGGTTTGGGGGAAACCAAGACTTGATTTTTTTTTTTTTTATTATTATTTTTTTTTTTACAGGCATGTTTTATTTATTATTTATTTGTTTGTTTGTACATGCACTGGGTACAGTCAGAAGCGCGGGTGGGCGAGAGAACTCACCAGAGCAGAGCGGGGAGCAAAGCAGGCAGAAGGACCGAAGTACACTGCTGAGGGGAGCAGCGGGCGGCAGGAGAGGCCCGCGCGCCATGCGGGACCCTCCTCCCGTGGCCGGGGAGCAGCCGGGAGATCGAACCAGCGCCGCAGAGGCCGCGGGCAGCCTCGCAACCCAGCGCTCAACCGCTGCGCCACCGGGGAGGCCCCAAGACTTGATTTTTAATTTTTGGTTTGAGATGCCAGTTAGAGAGAAGTCATTAGTAAAAAGTTAAGTATGTGATTCTGAATTCAGGGAAAAGGTTTGGTCTAGAGAAATACAACTAGGAGTCAGCACAATATAGATGGAATCCAAAGCTACAAAAGGGAGTGCTATTACTACTTTGGAAGTAAACGTAGATAGAAGTGAGGACACAGGTCTATTCGTTACCTAGTCTCACCTGGACACAGTACTAAACACTGTCAATGGAAGTAGGAAAGAAAAGAGTAGAGAATCCAGAAATAGTTCATTCATTCAGCAGACATATATGAGCATCTTCTATTTGCCAGAGGTCCTGCTAGCCCCTGAGAAAACAACATGACAGACCAGCCAAGGGCCTTCAAGTATAAAGATAAACACACAAGATAAACATCAAGATAAACACACAAGGTCGGCAATAGAGAGAAACTGCAGCACATTTTGTTGAACAGCAGGGAAGAGAAGTAGCAGTAATGTTGCAATAGAACTGTGGGAAATGACTCCAAGAATTGAGAAGATAGAAAGGCCTTTAATCTCTATCTGCTTGTAGCAAAGACAAGTCAGGCAAATGAAACCCTCTGGTAACAAAATAACAGAAATTTCAAGTTAGAGGAGAAAAAGGAAAGTAATATGGGGGGGGGGTGGGAATAGTGCATAATGGAGTCCTTAGCATAAACTACCTTAAATTTGGCCTATATTTTAGTCAACATTTCAATGTCTAGAAGTAAACATAGAATTATATCTTATTCCAAAATACAGGTTTTATTATGTCATGCACATATCGCTTAAGGAGATATATATATATATAATAATTTATCCTTAAATGAAATATGTCTTGTTAATTAAAATTGTGTTCTCATGAAACTTTCAGTAGTATTTCTTTCTTTTTCTTTTACATTTTAAAAGGACGGGTTTATAAAGAAAAGGTGAAAGAAAAAGAGGCAGCTGCATAGTCATAGTGGGGGCGGGAGAGTTGCTTAATAGTATTTTTTTTAAGTCTATTTATTTAGGCATAGAGGAACTGGGGTGTAGGCCAGAGGTGCAAGGGTTCTTCTTAACTGCAGATGCTGCAACATTAGCACAGGTCTCCCATGATGTTAAATTATTTCTCAAAAGCAATATTGAAATAACCTCTGACTACACTTGGAAGTAAGTACCTATGTTTTAGTTGAAGGAGATTTGGGCCTACTTATGAAAACAAAGAGCAAAAGGGAAAATGGCACCAGCAGTTAAGAATAAATTAAGCAAGAGGAGGAAGAAGAGAATAAAATAAATGATGATGCAGCAGTAACTTCTTGGAAGACTACCATGTGAATGCTATAAAGGAACAAGAATCCACCGGGTTTTGGTAGTGTACTATACCTGGGTTCACTCTTGAGGTTGGTTATAATGGCTGGGACGGTTCTAGCATCAGCCAGATTGGTCAGAAATTTGATTCTGATGTTAACTAAAACATTTTCCTTGAATGTTGCCATTGAATCCTAGGAATTCTTATGATGAGTAGTGGAGGGGGGCGGGTCCTCTTCAATTATTTATGTATTGGGAATCCTAAGTCTCTGACTGAAGGAACTGAGAGTTGGTACTCTGAAATAGAAAATGGAAGCATCAGGGTAATGACAGTGATGGTAAGTGGGAGTAAGAATCCAATCATTCAAAACATATTTATTGAATTCTTATTATACACCAGGGACTATGTTAAGATCTGCAGAGAAACAATGAACAAAATTCAACATTTCCCCTGGCAAAGGAGTTTGTAATTTAAAGCAAAGGTCTTTAAAGTACAAGCACCCCATTGACTGAACAAAATAGAATAGTTGAGAGACAACTTTAGTGTAGTGGTAAATCCTACAATGGAACCAAGATACACAGACTAGGCACCATCTGTCAAGGAGTATATGAAAGGTGTGCTTTGGAGGAAAGGAATAAAATATTAGAACATTGTATTCACTTTTACTCTCAAATTTGAAAAAAATTATTTAATATTAAATGTAGGACTTAACAGACATGAGTCCATAATTTAAAACAACTCCAAATGTTTTGGTAGTATAGGCTTTAAACATTTTAAATAAAAAACAATCATGTTGTGTAAAACTTTTGATTTTTGAAATATCCTTGTAATTCGAAAACTGAAAAAGACTAAAAGGGCAGAGCTTAGCAAGAAGAACAGCAGAAACAGCTCTGGCCTTCAGCAACTGGCAAAAAAGATGAAGAACAAAGGAGAGACCATTGCCAAACTCTTCCTCTAGAATATGCTTTTATCTTGGTTGCCACTCTGTATTTTAATTGTTTCCTGACAGTATCATTTTACCAGGGTGCAGGGATCCTTGAAGTTTTTTTATTCCCCAAACCTAGCACAGTGTCTAACAGACTGAAGTCATTCAGTTTGTGGAATGACACCTGGTTGTGAAAAATCTCATTTATTTGTGTATATTTACATTATCTAATTTGTATTTGGTTTCCTGTATTTCTGTATTCCTACTTGCAGTGGCACAGTGCCTAGACCACAGTGGGCACGAGATAATCATTATGCAATAAATATGTAAAAGAAATAATTTGCCTACATCAAATGGTTGAACTGAGTTTGGTAGAAGCACATGGAATAGTAGCTACACAGCAAAAGGGCAGAAGGAGAGAGGCTTAACTTCGGAGCTTGATACGGGGAAAGCCTAGGACACCGTGAAAGCCTTAAATTATCTACACATGAAAAACAGCAAGGATCTTCCATGGGTGCCCTGACCGTGAAGCACTTTGTCTTAAGTGTTTAAAACAAGTCTTTAGCATGATGTCTGGAGCAGAAACGGAGCTGGGCACGACCTCTAAGGTAAAATCAGAACCCCTCCCCGCAACACACCCCTAAATCACTGCTAAATCTCACACAACGGAGTTAGCTATACCATCAGTTTGGGTTGCTTTTATGATTGTTGCCTTCAACGCAGACACTCGTTTCGGTGCTCCCCGGGGGCATTTAACCCTTTCAGCGAAAACCAAGGGGAACGGATCCCTTTCAGAACCGTAGGGGAACGGGCCACCCGCGTGGGCTCCCGCTGTCTCCACGCGGCCATGCAACCCTGTCATGCCTGGCGCGGAGAGAACCCGAGTTCAGGCGTCGGGAACTTCAGCACGCCTATTGCGCAGGCTCTGCGTTCCACGCAGGCTTATTAGAAAGAAAGGGGGTAAAAGTGCCCAGAGACACGTGAACCAGACGGGGCCAACCCGTGCCGCGGCTCCCCTCTGCCTCGGATTCTGGAATTTACAATCACGAAAGTTCTATTGTCTCGCAATTGGCTCCGGGGCCGCATGACATCATAGCGCTTGATGCAGCCCCCGGGCGCCGATTGGCTGGCCGCGCCATTGTGACGTCACGGTCAGCCCACGCTCGGATTGTAGCTCCCCGGCGCCTTCCTCTTCCCACCGCGGCCGAGCCTCGTCCCCCGAGCGTCGCGCCCGCGTCCGCGTCTCCCTCCGCTGCGAGTGGCCCCCGCGCTCCGGCTGCCGCCTCGCCGCTCCTCACGGCGCTGCTGCCCCTCGGGAGAGGCGGTGAGTCGTCAGCGCCCAGAAACTTCTCCGGGGGCCGCCCCTCGGCCATGACACCCGGCTGAGCGCGCCGCCGGGGCGCGAGGGCTGCGAGCCGGCGTTAGGTGCCGGCGCCGACTGAGGAACTGCCGCGCGCCCCCGCCCCGCGCCCCGCGCCCCCGCGAGTGTCGCGGCCGCCGGCCCGGCCGGCTTCGGGGGTCCCAGCCTGGCTTCCCCGGCGGGCGCGGGGCTGCCCCGGGCGCCGCGGCTGAGGCGGGTCGCCTCGGGAGTTTCCCTCGCGGCGCCGTCGCACCTGTTCGGCGTGTGGGAGCAGCTGGGGGGCACTTGTGCCCGTTGACAGGCACCGCGGGGACGCACACTGCACCCCGAGAAGCTGCAGGACGCCTCGAGGGGCTGGTGCGCTCGGGTCAGCCGCCCTGTCGGGATGAACTCGCGGGTGGGAGGCTGGGGCAGCACCTTTCGAGGAGGAGAGCGTTTTCTGGGGGAGAACAAAACCGGGGTGAGTTCAGAGAGCCTCGGCGGGGGCGCTGGGAGGTCGGCGGCCGCCGGCGCCCCGCGCAGGGCTCGCGGAGCGGGGATCCTCCGGCCTTTTCTTTTTCTCTGTCTCCCCCCCCACCCGTGTGTGCCCCCCTCCACCCCCCGCACCCCCCGCCCCGGAGTGAAGCCCGCTAGCCCGGGACCACTTCGGGTTTTATTAAAACCAGATAACTGCAGCCTTGGGTACTTGGAGAGGGGCGAGGCCGGTCGGGGGCGAGGGGCGGGGACTGGGACTGGAGAGCGACCTGGGCGGCCCTTTGGGGAGTCCCGGCGGGAGAGGCGGGAGCCGCGGGCTGGGCGGGAGGCGCGCTGCGCGGAAGTAGCCCGCGCCTGGGGGCGCCCCGGGGACGCGCGTGTGGCGTTTGTAAGGAAAAGTGCCCTTTGACGGGGTTTGCAACTTACAGCTCACCTCTCCCGCACCCCCCTCGCGACACCCCCTCGCGGGCCCTCCTCTGGGTGGAGGCAGTCAGACCTGCGTTCTTCAACTCTTAAAACCACTCGGTGTTCTTGGCACTTTAAGGGTGGCGGTTCCCCCCCTCCCGCAAGACGGTAGTTAAGCTCATTCCTGGCTTCTTGACTGCAGATTTGGAGAATGTATTTGTAGAACGTTGCGGGGTCCGGTTGGGGAGAATCCAGGGCATCATTTACTAGCAGGGCTCGAGAGCCCAGGGGTGCCGGCAGGAGTTCGTACGAGCGATCAGCCTTAATTTTTTAGTAGCGTATCCGTGGCAGGAAGTTTGCTTGAAGAACCAATATTGCCGTTAGGTTTTGTAACTCGTTCCCCTGACTACTTGACAGATAACCTGTTGGTTTGCACTTGGTTTGCGTGCACGGCTCAGCCCAGTGCGTTGGGTGTAGGATCTGCAGGTAAGAACACGGTCGGTTTTGCATTCGATGCCTGTGGAGGAGCGCTTAACTTTCCAGCTGCTGTCAGGGCTCAAGTCAGCTCAGACCCTGCCTAGGATTCCTCTGAGAAAGCTCCGCACTTGAAAGGGAAATGTCATTCATATTTCTTTAAGATATTTTACACCAGATATTTCTCATTGCCAGGAACTTCCTCTGTACAGTTTCTTAATGCATTTTCTTTTCCATTTTTAACTGAAGCAAAAAGTGAAAATGTTACTGATAGCTAGCAGATGGCTCATTTTGCAGAATATGGGTAGAGCTTTGCTGAAAAGTCAAGTAGAAAGCACATCAAAATTTGTCCAGATTTTTCCAGAAAGTACCTCATAACTTCAGACACTGCTCTACCCACTTAACTGGATTTCCTTATCTATAAATGGGGGTTTCATATTTGTTTAGAACTGTTACATGCATTTCAAAGATGGTACAAATGAAAAGAGCCCAGGGTGGGGTCTGCCAAATAGTGGTTTGATAAATGTTTTCTCTTCACTTTCATTTTCTCTTGGGGAAGTGAAATTTAGGCAATGTGGCAAAGAATTAAGCTCGAGAATCTGAAGTAACTGGAAAAATATGCAGAAGTAGATTTTCACAGGCACTAATTCTAGTATCTTTTGAAGTTACTTTTGCAATGAGGTAAGTTATGTCATTCCCTGGGATCAAGAGTTTTTTTGGTTAGAGATCTTAATTTTTGTATGTTTGCAAGAATTTTTTTTCCATTCTCTTTTGCTCTCAGCATGCTTATTGATTGTCCTCTAGCTTCTAGAGGTATCACTTCTTTGGTGACCTATTTCCAGCTCACATTATACAAATCAAGGCAAAACTATTTACCTTTTTTTAGAGTAACTTTGATGCCTAAGCAGATATAGTGTGTTTGTTTTACTTCTTTCCCCACCACATCCTTTCCGCCCCCTAAGAAATTTTGTAATTTTTAATTCCTCCTTTATGCCTACCAAAACTTTTACTGATGGATAATCTTTCCATTATGTATCCATTAATAAGTTTTTCTTTACATGCATTTAGTTTCAGGCATTACTGATATGAACACCTGTTAATAGTTGCTTTCCATACACAATTCTTAGAACATCCCCATGAGAAGTTTTTATCCTTCACCTCTTTAATAGTTCAAGACTAAGGCCTAGACATGCCGAGTGACTTACCCAAATTCATATAGCTCTTTCTCCTACAATTTATCTCCTTCATTTATCCTTGTATTGCTAGGACTGTTTGTTCAGTAGGCCTTGTGTAGTTTATGTAACTGTTACTACATAACTTAAAAATCTAACCTCCTGTTTAAAGGTCCATCTTTAAGCCATCCAAGATTAATTTGTACTCTCAAATCTGTTCCCTTTTAGCTGGTACTTGATTCTTTTTATTCATTCACTTAAGTGGGGGTGTGGGGTGGGGTGTGATACACGTGTATGCTGGAGGGAGGGGTTGTATACAGAGATTATGACATAGTTACTTCAGAGGGCTTCCCAAATTAGCTTTAATCCTTTTATACCCTTACTTTATCTATACCTTGGACCAAAAGGGAATCAAAAGCATATTTCTGCGGGACTTAAACTGTATCTGAGAAGGCTTCATGGCAGAGTAACCCATGTTAGATAGATCAGTGTTTAACACTGCTGGTCAGGATGCTTTTGGTGTAAGAGGCAGGAAAACCTAACTCAGATAGGCTTTAAATGACTACCTGATTTCTGAAAAGTCCTGACAGCCGACTTCTTGCAGGGAGGGGCTGGTTCTCTGACACCCTCTCAGATGTGGGTTATGTCCTTAGGCTGATTTTGCTGATTTTGCTAAGGACTACCAGCAATGGTCTCTATTTCTATACCTTCCACTAATAATCTCATGTGGAAATTTCTCTTCCCGCCACCTTCCAAAGAGGTTCCTTGTCCTTCAGATGACTTCTTTAGGCCTTTAGTTACTTGAACTAGAACAATGCGTATCTAAGGAAGTAAGGAAGTAGATATTTATTTATTTATATTTTACAACATTGTTCATTTTTAAACAATGTTTGCTTCCCCCCACCCCCAGGGGTAGCCTCCATAGAATTCCCTTCACCAATGCACTGGTGCACCATCACCACAGTCCCCTGTGCTCCTCCCTCCCTCTGATCCCTCTCCCTTCTCTTCCCCTGCAGGATGTCTCTGGTTTATAATTGTCTGTTTGTTTTTGTTTTGTTGTGTTGTGTTTTGTATTGTTACTATTTTTTCCCCTGATGTCTTATTTGGTTCCCCTATATTCCTGCTGTGAGTGAAACCATCCGATATTTTTCTTTTTCCTTTTGACTTATTTCACTGAGCATAATTCCTTCTTGCTCCATCCATGTTGCCACAAATGACATCAGTTGATCTTTTTTTGATTGCTGAGTAGTATTCCATTGTATGTATATACACCACATCTTGAGCTAGTCATCTGTTTTTGGGCATTTTGGTTGTTTCTGGGTTTTACCTGTTATAAATAGTGCTGCAATAAACATAGGGGTACAGGTATTCATTTGAATAATGTTTTTGTGTCCTTTGGATAGATCCCTAGGAATGGAATTGCTGGGTCATATGGTAGCTCCATTTTTAGTGACTGAGGAACCTCCAGACAGCTTCCCATAGTGGTTGGACCAGTTTGCACTCCCACCAGCAATGTAGGAGAGTTCCTTTTCCACCACATCTTCGCCAACATTTGTTGTTGCTAGTTTTTTAAATATGTGCCATTCTTACTGGTGTAAGGTGGTATCTCATTGTGGTTTTAATTTGCATTTCCCTGATTATAAGGGATGCTGAGCATTTTTTCATATGGCTGTTGGCCATTTGCATTTCCTCTTTTGGAGAAGTGTCTTTTAAGTTCTTCTGCCCATTTTTTGATGGGATCGTTTACTTTGTTCTTGTTGAATTGTGTGACTTCTGTGATTATCTTTGTGATTGGTCCATTATCGGTTGTATGGAGTGCCAAGATTTTTTCCCAATCAGGGATTTAAATCTCACCTTATCTACTTGATTGCTACTATACCTTCAGGAAGGACCCCTGTGGACATGAGGGATGTCACATAGAGTCTGCTATAAGGGCCTCTGAGGATGTCAGTAGTAGAGATATGACTGTATTAAGTGAAAGAGAATTAATTAGCATTTTAATTTAACTTTACATTTCATAGAACAATCTTTATTGACATGCAGAGATAGGAAGGACATTCTAGGAGGGAGGGAGACCGGAGAACAAAGAAATATATGATGTCCTTGCGGAAAAACAAGTAGCCCAGATGACAGAAGCTGATGGAGAGGACTGAAGTAGAAGAAAAGCTTACAAAGGCAAGTTGTTGGTCATAATAATGGCTTTTACTAAGTTATTATGTGTCAAACCTTGCATTGAACACTTTACATGGATTTATAACCTCTTATTATTAATTGGTACTATGAGTATTCTCAATTCACAGGTGATGAAATAGAGGTAGAGAAGTTTGGACACTTGCCCAAAGTCACAGAGCATTGTAGCTGCTAGCCTGCTCCCTCTCCTGGGGTGTTTGGCTGATAGTATCACTGAAGTTTTTGAACTAGGAGTGCAATATGAATGTTTTGCTCCAGGAACATGAATCTTGTCAGGAATATGTTGGATAGACTGGCCTAGAGAGAGGCTGGGAATGCGGATATCACCTGGGATGTGGTTACAGGAGACGAGGGCAGTGACAAAGCCCTACCTGGAGCCACAGCCATGAGCACAGTCCAGAGACCTAGTTACTGGAAATTGTTTCCAGGATAAGATCTGTGCGACCTGGGGACCATTGGATTGAGGACTAACAAGAGGAAGGGAACCCTCAAGAGTAGGTGATAGAAGAAATATGGTATGAAGGGAGGAGGAAGCTTTGTAATTAGGTAGAAATCTAATGATCCAGACACATATCCAGACAAGCCATTTCCTCCTCTCCATATTTTAACTTTTTAGTGAAGGTAGCATTAGTGAGAAAAGGAAAAGCCGGACAAAGTCACCGGTTTACTTTAATAAGTAGTCTGAAAAATAACTGTATTATCACCATTTTTTACCATAAAAGGACAATCTCAGAAAAAGAGATAGTTCTTCAAATGAAAGGAAAAGCCTTAGTATTGTTGAAGCTCACATAGCCAGTTGCTGGCAGAATGAGGAGTAAGAACAAAATCTTCTGTCCTGTCAGCTGAGTTACCTCAGCTATATACTAGATATTAAAATAAACATTGCTTTATAGGAAGGCACATTATATTTTTATTAATATTTTATTTTATATAATTCTTGCATCATTTTTCATTTTTGCACAATGTATGCATTTTCATTTTAGTTATAATCCCCATACAGTTGTTTACCCCCCCCCCTTATTTTTACCCTAGTCCTTCCTCTCCCCTGCCCTCCCACCCCGGTAGTGTGTCTCTGGTTTATAGTTGCTTGTTGATTTTGATTTTGACTTTTTATTAATTAGTCTTTTTCCTGGTCCCTTATTTAGGTTTTCTAAATTCCTGCTATGAGTGAGACCATCCGGTATTTTTCTTTTTCTTTCTGGCTTATTTCGCTGAACATGATCCCTTCTAGCTCCATCCATGTTACTGCAAACTGCATGAGTTCATCTTTTTTGATTGCTGAGTAATATTCCATGGTGTATATGTACCACATCTTCTTGATCCAGTGTCTATTTTTGGGCATTTGGGTTGTTTCCATAGCTTAGCTATTGTAAGTAATGCTGCTATAAACTTAGGGGTGCAGGAGGCACATTATGTTTATTAAAACTGAAGTGATCTAAGAAGATTGGGAAGGCATAGTTGTTTAAGGTAGGATTCCTCAGTCTCGTGTAGTACCTAGCTGCCATCATTTCTTGTCTTTACTTGCCACTAACCAACCAAAAGAAAACAACTCTGGGCATCGGTCTCTTTAAAAATGAAAATTTAAACGCAGGTAATTTCCAAGTCCCTTTCGGAACTAAATTTTTTTGTTTCCCTCTTTACTAAGAACAG